ATATTATATATATATATATATATATATATATATATATAATATGAATTGTCTGTAAACTGCTACCCCGCATCTTCTGAGCTCTAAGTCCTTGAAGGTGTATGGCAGACTTAGTATCAGCTTGATGTTCTGGATCCTAGCTCTGCTCGTTCTGAAAATTATTTCCCATCCCCTTCGCTTTCATCTGAGGTACAAAATACTGATCAGCTAAGTCATCTTTTCGCATGATTGACTTACCATAAAGGTCATAAGCTTACATGCCTCCATTTTGATCGTAGTGTAGATTACTCAGTCTACAGATATCTTCCAGCAGTAGCCTTAGGAGATTGTTGAGCAAAATAGCTAACCCTGTAGGTAAGCTGCGTCAGGAACAATCTGTCCGCTAATATTCTTGTGCTCTGTAGGGCGCTTGTTCGAAATCAGTCGATCTTGTATTGGTGAATTTAACTACCTGTTTTACAACGTATTCTACCCTCAACGGAAATGAATTGCCCCGCTTATCATAAATTTTTCTTGTTACGGTAGTAACGACGTCAGGAAACAACTTGACTATGCGAAATGTTGAAGACAACAAAGCGGCAAATGTATGATACTGAACAACACTGAACAATAACTGCATTGATATTTTTTATTGATATTCCAGTATGGAGAAGCCCAAATTCATTCCGATGATCCTGAAGATAGCGTTCTGACACATAGCACGTCAGCATTTTTTACTGGAACGTTTGGAATGTGGAACATCTACGTCTTACTGCTTCTCGCCATGTACGCTCCTTCACACAAATGCTACTCTGGCGTAACAGGTAAGAGGGAGCCAAAACGGCTGTCATCTTTTGTTTTTAAATTAGTCACAATCTCTAGAGCAGCTCAGTGTTCGGATCAGTAACTACAGCAAATTCAGCAATGGATATCATAAAAATTTCGAGAATTTTCGAGCATTTACTCTTTTCATTTCAAGAGTTGGTTGACGAGAATGAGGGTTTAATGGATGGGACATACGAGGCGAACCCGATGACTACGTTTTTGAAGCCAGCCACAGACTAGTTTTTTTTTCGTTTCGTTTTCTTTGCCTTTTGTTTTCCGGCCATAGTTGATTTTTAATCTTTGCTTTTTATTAGATCTCATTATTTTCTGGCAAAGCTGTTGAATTTTTCAAAAATATTTCCTCTTTACGCATAAGAAACTAACATAATAGAGGACTTAGTGACTCGGTTCTTTGAATCTCACTTCTTGAAATCTCATAGCATAATGACGTTACAGGCCTTACCCTTCTGAATTCGATAGAATTGATATTTTTCTCAACCTTACACTGAAGCCGTTTCGCTGTAGATTGAATATGTTGTGCACAATTTCGCATATGACATCATTTTTTCATCACATTTTTTCACCGTAACATCTTTTTGATTGGAAAGTCATAATTTAAGGATTGGAACCACTGGTCATTGTATAATAATATTTATGTCTCTCG